AATTAGCCAAACACAAGTTACTTATCAAAAGCACTTTTCAAATGAATTTGCCAAACACAAATTGCTTTTTTTTTAAAAGCACTTTTTTGAAAAGCTATTTTTAAAAGAAAACACTTCTAAAAATAAGCAGTTTTTAGCAGTAATGTCGAACAAGCTCTTAAAGTAGTATTTCACAAAGAGTTTCAAGAAAGCATAAATTACTTGCTTCAAGTGCATTATTTTCAGAAAGAAAAGCATAGTTAGCTTTAAAGAAAGCATATCTTCATTTTAAGAAAGTACCATCAATTTTTCATAAAAGCATAGGCTTGTAAAGCAAGTTCAGTACAATTATAAAGAAGCATTTTTTAGTATTAATTCAAGGCGGTGGACTTTTCCCTAAATGGGACAAAATACAGTTATAGAGCATTATTGCATTGTTTTGGGAGTAGTAGTGAAAACCAAGTTGGGTAAGAGTTATACAATCCAAACCCAATAACCATGCAACCAACATAGGATAGGACTGTGCAGTTGATTCGGACGATTCCTCATAAAGTCTCTGGTAAAGACTCAGAGATTGGATCCATTAGTTAAGTTCATCATTTATGATCTTAAGTGTATTTATATGCCTATGTACTATGATTTACCTGCATGTGCCTTATGTTTCAAGGATCTTCTTGATGATAATTGTTGTGTTTTGATTAAGTATTGCAGTGAATGCGCATTAGCCTACATGATTAGCATATGCAGGGATTTCTAATGAAGTATGAACTAAATAAGAGGCGACGAAAGCGAAGGGAAAATGAGCGTGAAGAAAAATACACCTGGAGCAGCCTTAGCGTGCCGCGCCAGGGCCTAAACTACTAGAGCCAAGTTCTGGCGTACTACTAGCGCGCCGCCCCAACAGTCCTGGCGCTATGGTGGCGCGTTGCCCCATGCCAACCCCAACTTTCTAGACAAATTTTAGTTGATTTAGGATTCCTAATTGGACTAGAAATGGAATAATTTTTTCCTAAACTCTATAAATAGGATCCTAGAGATATTTTGTGAAGAAGAACTTCTTTATCATACTTTGTAGCCGTAATACTACTACTACTTCTTCTTCTTCTTCTCCTAGAGATATTTTGTGAAGAAGAACTTCTTTATCATACTTTGTAGCCGTAATACTACTACTACTTCTTCTTCTTCTTCTCCTAGAGATATTTTGTGAAGAAGAACTTCTTTATCATACTTTGTAGCCGTAATACTACTACTACTTCTTCTTCTTCTTCTCCTAGAGATATTTTGTGAAGAAGAACTTCTTTATCATACTTTGTAGCCGTAATACTACTACTACTACTACTTCTTCTTCTTCTTCTTCTCCTAGAGATATTTTGTGAAGAAGAACTTCTTTATCATACTTTGTAGCCGTAATACTACTACTACTTCTTCTTCTTCTTCTTCTTCTTCTCCTAGAGATATTTTGTGAAGAAGAACTTCTTTATCATACTTTGTAGCCGTAATACTACTACTACTTCTTCTTCTTCTTAGACATTAGTAGCTAAAGACCCTTGTTCTGGGGCTTCAACTGCGGGTAATTGTTCAACGCCGATTATTTTAAATTAATGTTGGTTATCACTTTAATTACTTTTGTATTCTTGTTTTAGTATTTCGTGTTTGATCACCATAGAAATAAATATATTGTCTACTCTTGAACTCAAGAGATGGAAAGGTAGATAGACCAAAAAATACAAAGAGCTCGAACTCTCTTGCATATCACTTGTTCAAATTTGTATTCAGGATTGACACACGGACAAACACCGAACTTGGTTACGAAACAATATGGAATATAAATGATCACTAATTGAGTCTGTCTATACCTGCTCAATGATGTAGTTAGACAGTCTAATGGAGTAGGTGATTAAAAGTCAGGAGATCATGATCATAAAATCAACCCTATAAATCAGTAATTTGATAACCGTAGTTAATTCATTATATGAGATGTGATACATGAAACCTTAAGCATGTTGCAACCCTGAAATTTGCCAACCATTGTAAGTAATTTTTTTTATTTCATTCTTAATAATTAAATACAAATTAAAATCTTTTGGCATACCTGAGTAAATAATTAGACTAGTATAATTTAGTAAAATAGTTAATCAACAAATCCTTTGGATTCGATAATCGGGATCTTTTAGAGCCACTATATTATTTGTGCGACCACGTATACTTGCGTGTGTAATTAGGAGCAACACTTTACTGTGGCAAAATATAGCATGACTCTGACAACGTGGCAAGACGTTATATCATCATAATGCTCAAAGTGATGGTTATTGGTTAGATAAACTCTCAAAGAAAAGTAAATCATATTATTTTCAATATTTGCTACTATTGCATATATATTAACATGTAAAACTTGGTTGTTAAAGTACACATGCATTCTTTACTTTTCAGTTGACTATTTTAAAGTTTACCTTTAGATTTACTCTTTCAGTTTAGTTTACCACTTGTTTCATTCAGTTGTTTTACATACCCTACATTTCATGTATTGACGTCATTTGACACTATATCTTTGAATGATGTAGATTCATGTATTCAGGATCAATAAGAGATGCTTCTTTAGGACCTTTTCCTATTAACATTTGGTAAGACCTCCTTACTTTCAGAGGGCTCCAGTTTATCTAATTTATTCAGTATTTAGTAGACATTGCTAGTAGAGTATTCAGATAGTCAAGGATTTTGTCCCTACACCTATCCTCAGGTTATTAGAGGCTTCATAGATAAGTTAGATGAGTTAGTCGAGTCGTGGTTTTCTGATGTGCTCAAACTCATTTATTATTACTATTATTATTAATACTTTTAGATAAAGTTGTTGAGATGATCTATGTTTGTTTAAATCATTATGATGCTCATTTTTTAAAAAGCTTCCACATAAGATATTCAGTCTTCTAGTTAGCAGTAAGTGAGACCAAAAATTTGGTTGGGATCAAAAATGGGTTTTAGCGCCGGCCACGTCTAGAATATGCTCGGAGCGTGTCATTATTTATCTCATATTAAATAAATAATAATCACGTAATCCAAAATAACTTAATTTATTCCGAATCAAATAACCCCCAAGGAATTATTGCCAATACAAGATGAGAAAAATTGCACATTTATAGACAAATTATTACTAGAATCATATTATTTTAGAAGGAAGAAAGAGAAGGAATATTTCTTATCTTGGTTAATGTGACATAAATTTTGTTTATTTATTTATTATATCAAAAGTTTTTAACGTTAATTTTTTGTAGTTGGATAGTCCAAAATCCAAATAGGTGCTTATATAATATAAAATGAAGACAGTGTGTTCACAATTGTCAGGATGGCCGAGTGGTCTAAGGCGCCAGACTCAAGTTCTGGTCTTCGTAAGAGGGCGTGGGTTCAAATCCCACTTCTGACATTTTTCCCCTTAATTTTTGTTGAATTATTTTCACAATTGAACTGGCTTTAAAAAACATAAATGATATTTACAACACTTCCTTTGCTTAGTATTTTCCTTTTTCTGTCTACCACTTATTGTTACTTGAACTAATATTGTCATTGCATCTTTGCAAAATGAATCTCTTTTGGTTAAGAATTGAAATAGATAAAGTACAAACTTAAGCAAATTTAATTGAAATAGCTAAATCACCAATCCTTATTGGCTTCTATTCTTGGTTAAAAATACACTCCTTTCGTCTACTTTTAATTATCATGTTACGCTTTTCGAAAGTCAATTTGACTAAAAATCTCTTTTTGATTAAGAATTGAAATAGATAAAGTACAAGCTTAAGCAAATTTAATTGAAATAACTAAATCACCAATCCTTATTGGCTTCTAGTCTTGGTTAAACATATACTCCTTCCGTCCACTTTTAATTATCATGTTGCACTTTTTGAAAATCAATTTGACTAATTTTCAAAGTTAAATTACATTACATTAATTCGATATTTTAAACCAAAAAAATTAGATATTCAAAAACTATACGAAAAGTACTATAAATTACAATTTTTTGCATATCAATATGATGAAAAATACATTATAAATTCTTATAGTTCGACTCTAAAAAAGGAAACCATGACTAGACGGAGGTAGTGCATCAATAGATAGTAGATACTATAAGGATTAAGGAATGTATATAAGGATCCCATAAATTCATACCTTGTATTGTCTCCATTGAGACATCCGTCCGTCACACATTGAGCTTTTATATTTTCATCATACATAACTAGAAAATTAGTATCCCCATAAAACGGAATATGATGTACTAAAATTGTTGTTCCTTCCGCATTAAAGTTGTCAGGTTTCTTTTCACGAGAAGTTAGGTTTTAAAAGGTATACAAAAATTTATATGAGCCACAATTTTTTTCATAGTAATATGATGAAAAAATACATCCTACAATATTGGGCAAAATTCATGTAGTTTGATTTTTAAAAACAACACGTGACAAGTATTTTGGAACGGATGGAGTAGTAATATTGTGGGATTATTCAGTACTAATTACTGCAAGACTTTCCAGTTTCTTCTTCCCAACTTTAGAATGTATTCAAAGTGCTTATGGTTAAATCAGTCATATAAAAATTGTATGTTGTGTGTCCTACTCAATGACAGGACTACAAAGAATGTACACATTTGTCCAAAAAAAGAAAAGAAAAGAATGACACAAGTTTCTGCAAATATATTGTTAGTTGGGTATATATTATTCATTTATTTTCTTCCAAGATAGAATTTGATTATACAATGATTTCTAATTACATTGATGTTTACCCAACTGGGGGAACCCCTACTAAAGCCCAACAACATCTTTGGTACCACCATAAAATTCAGGGCAAATCACAGCTACAGGTTTTTTCCTTTTCTTAAGGAAAAAGATAACAATGACAGCAAAAAAATCAATACAAAGCACCAAAATTAGAATTGTGGTTCTTAAACCCCTAAAAAATATAGAAATTGGAGTGGAGCTGCACAATGAACAATGAGATGACAGATATCTATCCAGTGAAATAATTGAAATACACGTAAATGACCGGACACCATTTGTTATATAGGGACATAAAATTCCTAGTGTTAAGAATGGGATAAAATTCGCGAATAGAGGAACTCATTCCAAGTATCAGGCAATCCAGGGAGGCACCAATGAATACAATCAGCATAGGTGGTTGGATCAGCTTTCTGCTCCGGTGTCAGCATTTTGCCTTGTCGAATGGTGTGGACAGATGTGTGCGCGTCTTTCCTGTACTCCGATAAGGAGGTGATATTGAGGAAGTAAACAGGGACATTGATGGATTGAGTAACATTTGCTGCTACTACAAATAGTCTCTTGTCTGTACCAACACTTAGCGGCATTGATGTGTTTAACACTGGGCTAGTCTCTTTTGCACATTTTATCCCATCAGGATTGTTCCAATCCAAACTCCTGCAGAGAGTTAACCAAGCAAAAACTCAGAAATTTGGCTTATTTGTTATGACAAATTTAACTTATGTAGGCCGACAAGGTGAGTTTTTTTTACACAATATGTTGTGCGTAGTAGCTAGCTAACCTGCATTATTTTTCAGATTACCATCTCACATTTTACCATCGCATAATGTGTGAGAGTTAAAATGTTGATATGAGATGTACCAAATGGATAAAAAGCGAAAGGAAATGGGGATTACTTGATATGAAGAGGAGACATGCTCATGAAGAAAACTTTCGTGCGATTGACATCCACATTGTTTTCCACCCACTGTGACCATGTTGTCAAAACTCTCCGATAAGCAACTGGTCTCTCAATATCATCGTATTCTGTGGCTCCTTCATCGAACGACCCTCGTCTAAAGAATAATATCAAACATAAGTACTGAATGCAGCAGAGGAAAAGAACACATCAAGTCGAGTATAATTACTTACAGAACTTTCATGGCGAAAGTATTCATCCACCAAATATATGTGTTGAAGACGAGATAATCAACATTCTTCCAGTTCTTTCCATGCTTTTCAATTGATTCGGGCATGATGATCCTGTTCAATATACTATGCATGTTTGGATCATCTGAATTTGACTCCACCAGAAATGGAGCCCAGTAAAATTCCACTGTGGCATTATAATCCTACATGTTCACATTAGAAAATTAATTCAAAAGCTTCTATCAAGGGGTACGTATACTGAGAGTGATCAGCCCAACAACTATTCGTAGATGGACTAACCACTTCACCTGTATTAGGTAAACTTAAATATAGAATTAGTCTGTGTTCTTACTGATAGATAATCTAATCCAACCAATCAAAGATTAAATATTAAGCAAAAGTAGTCATCAACTTAAAATGTAAGCAACACTACAGGATCACGGTCTATAACGTAATACTCCCTCTGTTTCAATTTGACACGAAATTTAAAAAAAGACTTTTGAATCATGTGTTTGTGATATACCTCAATTCTGAAAACAGACAAAGAACCAGTCTTGTTTAAGCTTTTTCGGCCTGGAGGAACTGCAGATTGAACCAAACAAATCATGGATTCCCATTGATTTCTGTTCAGCGAGTCTCCGACAAACATGAGTCTCTTGTTCCTCAGTTTCTCAAGCAGCAACTTTGCTTTAAACCTATAATTTCAATATATTCTAAAAATGTTAATCCAAGAAAACAGGACAAACAGAGAAAGAATCAAGAATTGGTTCATACTTGGGTAAAGAACAGTCTCTGGGTTGCCACCTCCAGTTCTGATACATGGAGTCCTCCCTTCCATTCCTCATACAAGTTACTTGTGCTGTAAGAAACTCACATTCTGGTTCTTTATAAATTGGGTGTGTTACATTGTCGTAAACCCATTGCCCTGTAAAAAGATCACAATCTTCTGGTGGCAATTCAATATTCTCCTCTTCCTCTTCTTCTTCTTCTTCAGCGGGAATTTCAATATTTTCCTTCTCTGGCTCTGTTCTTGAATTCATCACTACCTTAGTCTCAATTTGTTGATTCAAAGATGCAGTGTTGATATCTTGATTTCTGGTCATAGAAAATGGGAATTCAGCAATTGTTTTGACGTCTTCATTGTACATGAAGCATCCAAAGAGGAATATGGAGAAAACAACAACGAATATGGAAAAATGATTGTTCTTCCGGGCAGTATGCTTCATCTTGAATAAATTGGAGGAGAAGAAGACAGGGGTTTTACGACTACGAAGTGAATACATGAGAAAGGAGTATGATTATTAATGGTGAGAATAGGAGGAAGAGAAGAGTAACATTTTTAATATTTGAGTTAAGATTATAATAGGGAGGGTAGTTTATTTGAGATTTGGTGAAATGGGGTTTTCTGAAAGTATCAGTTGCTGGAGAGTTGTCCTCCTCAGCTGTTTCAAACTACTTTGTTCCTCCTACTCCTCCAGCTAACTAACAACTACTTTTATTTAATATATATATATATATAATTTTTATTTTACTGTTAATTAAGAGTTGCAAAACTCATGTCTCTATTATTATTAAGGATTTCATTCAATTACATAAAGAGTGATTGATTTTTTGAATTTATAGAGTATTAGGTAGGAGGTTACAGTGGAAACATGTTATGCTAGGAGGTTAGTTACTTGAGCGTTATCTCGCTTATTTCTTTTTATTATTAGTCGTATAGTTCTTTTGTTCTTTAATTTGAGTATAATTATTATTTGTGGTTTTTTTTTTATACTTTTATTATCGTTGTATTTTGTTATGACTTTTTTTTAGGATGATTTGTTAGGAATTTTTTTCATGATTGTCTTCATTTCAGTTATTTCTTTTTCTATACTACTTTGAATTATCCGGTGATCTATTAGAAATAGTCTCTGCTTTGAACTATTTTTATTTTTTTTACTACTTTGGACTATTGTGTTTTTTTATACTACTTTGGACTATTTTTTCTTGAATCGATAGTTTATCAAAAACAATCTCTACCTCTAAGATAGTAGTCAGGTCAGCGTATACTCTATCTTCCCTAGATTTTACTTTGCACGACTACACTAGATATGTTATTGTTGTATATATTATTCCAATTTCCATCCATATCAGTTTCTATTATAGTTTAGTCGCGAATTTTAAATTAAAAGTGTAAAATATAGGAAAAATATCCTTTATAAATATAATCTTACCATATTAAATGTGTCATATGATTCCTAAACGAAGTGCCATTAAAGATAAATAACAATATTGATATAACATTTTACTGAATATGGAAAAAAGCATAGTTTTGTAACCGATCTAAAAAAAAGAATATGAAGTGCAAAGAGTATCATTTTGGTAGATTTATTTTGGAGTAATTAAGATATATTGAACAGTCATGGAACCCACAAATGGGTTGAAGAGCGTCATTTTCTCGTTAACTTGTACCTTTCAAACTATAAAAATGATTTTTTATGTATATAATTATTTGGTATTTGATAATTGACACGATTAATATAGTTTTGTGTAGCGTAAGAATAACTAAATAAAAAATTCTACATATTAGACATTTTTCTATTTTTGAAATTTAAATTCAAAACCTTTAATTAAAAGTGAAGAGATCATACCTATTCCATTATTCTCCTTAAAAATATAAAAAATGATTGAAACTAAAATAAAAATAAAATAAAATTATGGTGTAGACACAAGTTGTCTTAGCTTGACCATTTTTTTATATATATATATGAAGCTAGTGAACAACAAATAGCAAAATAATCACCATACGGATCCGAGTCAAAATTAGATATTACCTAAAACATGTTACTCTTAGCATCTATGATTTTGTGCGCTAATTAATTAGTCTACCTACTATAACTTCAAATTAGATTATTTATAGAAATACGTCAATAGTCTACGTATGATAACTCAATCATTTAAATCTTTGAGATAGCTTAATTATTCTGATAAACAAATGACGTAGGAAAATAGCTTTGAAATGCAGATCAACTCGCATACACCTCGACTATTTAATAGAATATCTACTTTCTCTCCGTTACATGTCCTAAACAATTTTGTCTGTTTAGCCTTGAAAGAGGAAAATAAATCATCTAACCTTTTTGTTTATGACGGGAGTAAATCCGATTTTCCATAATTTTCATTCGGGCTATGTATTCGTTGATTCGATTTTGAAGGTTATTGATTGAGTTATTGAATGTTAGTTTGTAGACATGCTAATCTGTTAAGATGTTGGTTAATTTGATCGTTATCGATTCGGTTACCAATTTAACCGTTAATATTTTACATGTACAAAAATAATGTGACAAACTAAACGAATTATGGATGTGAGAACAATTTATCAAGACAACATCAAAGACAATATGTCGATATGCACAATACCCCTCAAGTCAAGTCCGTTTTCCTGAAATTGGAAATAATTGGAACAATTGTCATCAAACAAATTACTATAAGGTTATTGGTTCACCCATTAAAAAAAGTGGTCAAATAGAAACCTGAACCAATAACTCAATAATTATAGACTACTAAACTATTAAAACAACGACAATAACCCAAACCATTAACCCAATAACCCTATTACCGGTTTGGGTACTTGATTTGACACAAAACTTGTGCAACCCTAGTTTTTACCCACAAAAATGTCTCTTTTAAATAAAAAAAAACTTTGGAAAGTATCTATCTTTGGCTAATGAATTTTGATTAATAAATATTTGGCCAATAGAGAATGAGGTTGGAGCAGATGGATTCTCATAATTATTACATTCCTAGTAATCTTCTACAAATAGTTTTGATAAATGGATGGTTAAATGAGCTCTCATTGTCATCATCAATCACTAATTTTCTTAATGAATAATTAAGGTATGGGTGAAAGAATTAAGTAAGAAATGAATAACGGTTAGCTTTATGTTAGAGAAAAGTAAAGGGTACGTAAGCTTTTGTTCTTGTACACCAACAATCTAATCAGTTTGCTCCTCATTTCACTTGTCTGACAGATGACATCTTGTAATCTCCCTTTATCTTTATTTCCAAGCCAAGTTAAGACACCAACAATCTAATCAGTTTCCATTCTTCGAACACTATATATGTTTTTTCTTTAACCATAAATTTACTAGTTGAAATAATTTTCAATGTTATTTTAAATTTGACAAGATTTTAGTTGATCAGTGTAAATATTTGAAAGGAAGATAATTTTCTTTGTAATGAAACGTCAAGGTAATAAATTCGTAGTAGAAATTTTGGCAATCATTAAGTAAGCGTTTGACCATACTTTCCTAAATATTTTTGATGAGTTATTTTTGGATGAAGTTTTACTATGTGTGATCATATATTTTGGAAAAATATTTGACTTTATAAAGAAATATGATTTATATCCATAAGTTTGTATTATCATCTTATGGCGAACATGTTTCGTGAAAAGTCATGACAATGAGCACAACTAATATGAATCTAAAAAAAGAAGAAGAAAACAAAAAAAGAGTACCATTGATTTTATACAAAAAAAACTATTATTGCTACTTGTAATTGAAAGTGACTTCAGAGATCAAGTTCAAATAAAAACTGTATAAAATATGTATATAACTGTATAAATTTTGTACAATGAACTAGGATTGAAGTTCAATCCAAAACTACAAATAATGTGTATTTTTATAAAATATAAAAATTTGAGATAATTTTCAATTTTTTAAAAAAAAAATATTCAAACAATAGAATTTGACTCAAATACTAATTTTCTCCAGTATTTAAAAATTTAAATTGTTTATTAAAAATATTTGCCAAATAATTATAAATTGTATGACTAAATAATATTTGTCAAGTTAATCTCAAGATATAAGAGAGATCATGCTGCTACTTTATTTGAATTGTTGTTTGGTATGATTTTATATTGTGTCACAAATTGAAGCTTGAGATTTGCATACATAGTGATGACATCAAAAGGAAGAACTCATTCAAATAATGAAGATTATCATCGTTTTCACCTATGAAACATTACTTAACTCTGCAATCAGACTGTGCCAAGTGACATAGTAAAAGTAGTATTAGTACAAACAACACGTATCAGTGGGTAATGTCATCGGTCGACCGACATTCAAAAGAAAACATGCACTATAAAAGTTACACCATCCCAAGTTTTTATCCACATATTTTTACTATCTCAGGTATAATGCCCATAAACTAGAACACTTTGATCCCAACTTCCTACCTCATTTTGCTGTCAACTCTACCATTAAACATTCGACCCTCTTGCAACTCTAAGGCTTCCCCAACCTGCCTTTTATGCCATCCTAAGGCTTCCCAAACCTACCAGTTATGTCACCCTAAGGTTTCGCAAGCTAAATGTTTATTCTAGACCACTTTATAGACACACACAGTTCACGTAAATCAACTAAGAACAAGACTGCTAGCTGTTGACACCCAATTTTGGCTCTCCACATTTATTTAGAGAAAATGGTCAAATACACCCTCAACCTATAATCGAATTCTCAACTACACACTTATATTTTACAGGAGTCCTATTACCCCCCTTGAACTATTTTAAAGTGGTATAAATGCACCCTTAAGTGCTGACATGGCACAGAGAGTGTGTTCACTCTCTTGAAGGCATGTGAAAGTTGAAAAAATTGATAAAAGTATATTTAAAAATATTTATGACTTTTTTTTAA